AGCCTACCAGGATTGAGTCGAGTGTCCCTTGTTATGTGGTCCTCCAAGCTGTCTTTTGGTTGCCCCTTCCTGACAATTTGTCTTTATTTTCATTGTAATTCCAGTTTGGTCTTGGGAGATGATCTGTGTAGCTTACATTCACTCTGCCGCCATTTTTTTTTCTTCCTAATATTTCTTATAATACTGGTTTGGTGGTGATGAACTCCTTTAGCTTCACTTATTTATTTATTTATTTAGTTAGTTGTTTGTTTATTTTTGATCCTCATGTGAGGATATGTTTTTTTAGAGAGAGAGGGAGGGAGAGAGAGAGAGAGAGAAACATTGATGTGAGAGAGAAACATCTATCAGTTGCTTCCTGTACATTTCTCGACCAGGGATCAAAACTACAATCTCGATCTGTGCCCTGATCGGGAATCAAACTTGCAATATTCTGGTGTACAGGATGACACTCCAACCAGCTATGCCACCTGGGCATGGCTCTTTCAGCTTTTCTTGTCTTGGAAGCTCTTTATTTTTCTATTCTAAATGACAACTTTTTGGGTAAAGTAATCTTGGTTGTAGGTCCTTGCTTTTCATCACTTTTAACTATTTCTTGCCAATCCTTTCTGACCTGGACAGTTTTTCTTTCTTTTTTACAAAATATGTTTTTATTGATTTTAGAAAGAGAAGAAGGGAGAGAGAGAAACATCGATTGGCTGCCTCCTGTCCCCCCCGACCATGGGGATTGAGCCTGCAACCTGGCAGGTGTCCTGACTGGGAATTGAACCTGCTATCTCTTGGTGCATAGGATGATGCTGAATTCACTGAGCCACACCAGCTGGGCTCGCCTGCAAAGTTTCTGTTGAGAAATCAGCTGATAGTCTTATGGGAACTCCCTTGTGAGTAACTAATTGCTTTTCTAATGCTGCTTTTAACAATCTCTCTTTGGCCTTGGCCGTTTTTGGCTCAGTGGTTAGAGCGATTTTGATCAGGGGCATGTGCCTCAGTTCGTCCACTGCCCTGGTCAGGATTGTGTGGGAGGCAACCAGTCGATGTGTACCTCTCACATAGATGTTTCTCTCTCTCTCCCTTTCTACCCCTCCCTTCCACTATATCTGAAGATAAATAGAAAAATGTCCTTGGGTGAGGATTAAAAAAAAAAGAATCTCTCTTTGTCTTTAACCTTTGACATTTTAATTATTGTGTGTCTTGGTATTGACTTCTTTGTATTCATCTTGTTTGGGACTCTGCACTTCCTGTACTTGTATGTCTGTTTCCTTCACCAGGTTAGGGAAGTTTTTTGTTATTATTTTTTCACATAGGTTTTCAATTTCTTGCTCTGTTTCTTCCTCTGGCACTCCCATGATACAAATGTTGGTACACAGGAAGTTGTCCCTGAGGCTCCTTATACTAGCCTCATTTTGGGGGGATTCTTTTTGCTTTTTTGATTAGGTATTTTCTGATTCCTTACCTTACAAATTGATGATTTGATCTTCTGCTTCATCTACTCCACTGTCAATTTCCTAATATATATTTTTTCAGTTTATTTCTGACTGGATCTTTTATGTCTTCTATCTGTTTCTTGTCTCTTTGTTGAAGTTCTCACTAAGTGTATCTACTCTTCCCCTAAGCTCATTGAGTATTCTTATAACCAGTGTTTGGAACTCTGCATCTGGTAGATTGTCTCCATTTTGTTTAGTTCTCTTTCTGGAGTTTTGTACTGTTCTTTCATTTGGGACACATATCTTTGTCTCCTCATTTTGACTGCCTCTCAGTGTTTGTTTTTATGTATTTGGTAGAGCTGCTGTGTCTCCCAGTCTTGGTAGAGTGAGATTGTATAGTAGGTGTCCTGTAGGGCCCAGTGGTACAGCCTTCCCAGTCACCCAAGTTGGGTGCTTTGGGTGCATCCCCAGTGTGGACTGTGTCCATCCTCCTGTTGTAGTTGAGCCTTGATTGCTGTTGGCATGTCAGTGTAAGGGATTTACAGGCTGTCCAGCTAGTACTGGCTGCAACCACTGTGGAAGATCTGCTGTGCGGGGGCTGACCCTACGGAGCAGGACTCATTTCAGCTGGGTACTAGTGCGTGCTGAACTTGCCCCATGAGTGTGTTGCTCATGTGGGTGGTTGTGTCGTACATCAGCATGGGCACCAGGTGTGGTAGCTCTGGGGTCTCCCAAGAGGTGCAGGCCAAGGTCACCTGATGCCTGTGCGCTGCCTAGGGCCACCTGGCATGAGCTACAGAGTGATCTCCAGATGGCTAATAGTTGTGCTGGCCTTGGAGGTGCCTTGGAGGGGGCTGAGCTATGAACCAAGGCTGGCTGCCACTAGTGACAAACCTCGGGCCACTTAGCAAGAGGTATGGGGCACACTGAGGCCTGATGCTGCTTGTTGGAGAGATTTTAGGAAAGTCTACAGCTTAAGACAAGACAGGCCATTTGTATGGAAAAGCTACTGGAAATGGTTTGGGTACACTGGGTGCGGTCTCACAGAATCACCAGGGCAGGGGTAGCCAGGTTGATGGAGACTCAGATATGGTACCCACCTGCCAGCTTTGTTCGGGGAGGGCTCAGCAAAGGAACATGGCCTCTGCCAGCACTTCCCTCTGGAAGAAAGCTACCCCTCTGGCTCTGGCCCTGATGCCAGACAATTCAATTCCTTTCTGTATGTCCCTGGTGTTTGTTTGTTTGTTTGTTTGTTTGTTTGTTTTTTTAATCCTCACCCGAGGCCATTTTTCCATTTTTTTCTTCAGATAGAATGGGAGGGGGAGAGAGAGAGAAACATCGATGTGAAAGGGACACATCGAGTGGTTGCCACCCACACAACCAACCAGGGCTGGGGACAGACTGCAACCGAGGTACATGCCCTTAGTGGGAACCGAACCCGGGTCTCCCTGGACCGCAGGCCGACGCTCTAACCGCTGAGCCAAACTGGCCCGGCGTCCCTGGTGTTTTTTTGAGCTGCTGCCCCTGTGTTGGAGCTTAGAATGAGTGAGTCCAAGTAAGTCAGTGCACGGTTCCTTTAAGAGAAATGCCTGCAACTCCAGCTGCCCTCTGTTTCCCTCAGCCTCAATCCCTGCTGGTTTTTACAGCCAGAAGTTATGAGGACTTCTCTTCCCGGCACTGGAATCCTGGGCTGAGACCCCTCACTCTTCAAGAGGTACCTGGGCAACCGAGATACCCCTCCCAGTTTTTAACTGCAGCATGTGATTGTGGGACCAGCCCATTCCACCTCTCTGTTCCCCCTCCTAGTCTTAATGTGGCTTCTTTATATTCTTAATTATCAGAGTTTTGTTGAGCTAGATTTCAGACATTTCCGAATGATGGTTGTTCTATAGTTTAGTTGTAATTTTGATGTGGTTGTGGAAGGATTTGAGTACCATATTTACTTATGCTGCCATCTTGACCAGAAGCTCTCTGCTGGTGTTTTTGAAGTACTTGCAGCAAATGGATGATTAGTGGTATTATTTTCATGAAAGCATATTGGAAATGGTTTGTTGTCTTAGACAAAAATAATTTAACCATAAATTTATTATCAATAAAAGTAGTTGCTTCCAAATACACAATGTCTTTGAGAGTCGTGGAAAATGCCTGGGCCCCTTAGGTGATTTCTTTGTGTACCCCATAGCATTTCAGAGACCTGCAGGTAAACAGCCAATAAACCATTATGGTATACTACACATGTGCAAAGTATTGGAGGAGAGAACCCCATCTTGGCCATCAGGAATATAAAGCAGAATGGAAGAGCCCGAACTTGGGGAGGCAGTTTCACACTCAGCTGGTTGTGTTCCAGACATTATTTCTGATACAGCAGATTGTTGTAATACACAGGCCCAAACCTGGCCAGCTTCCCAGGCAACACAAGTGTGAAGACACACTGTGTTTACTTGGACTACCACTGCTTCAAATGAACTTGCTCTTACAAGAGTACAGGGAGGCCTGTGGTTTTCATCAGTGACCTGTCATTCCCTTCACTTTCTTAGCCTCCTTTGCCCCAGGGTCTCTGTCCTGCTATTGCCTAGGATCCCTCGCAGAGGCTGGTTTATACTGCATGAGGCAGCCACTTTCTGTCTGACTTCAGAGAGTGGCTTCTTTGTTTCTTGTAGTCCACAGTCAAGGTTCAGTGTCCAGTGAGAGAGAAAGGGAACCTTCTCTCTCAGTCCCAGCAGGCAGTGGGTTAGGACTGGGACCAGCTGTTTCTTTTTGTTCTCTCCTATATAAAGTCATACTTATATGTGCCTGCAGGGGTAGGCAGAAATAAGGAAGAACTCTGTGCCAGTGTACTTGAGTATAGCAAGTAGACTTTAAGAATGTGTAAATAGCCCTGGCCGATTTGGTTCAGTGGTTGGAGCGCCGTCCTGTGGACCAGAGAGTCTGGGTTCGGTTCCCGCTAGGGGCATGTACCAAAAAAAAAAAAAAAAAAAAAAAAGAATGTGTAAATAATGAAGGCCCACAATTTGAGCACTCATGAGATAGTACCTAAGTGCACTGTGCCGTTGTGACATTCTTTCAAATTAAAGCTATTATAGTAATTATAACCTGCATATTTTTCCCCACATGAACAACAGTAGACCTACGTTTGCCTACCTCTGTATATTCTAGAAGTCAGGATATTTTTAACTACAGGAGTAGCCTGAGCAAGATGAAAATAAAGGCAGACTAATAATTCAGAGTGATACGTAACCAGTCTAAACAAGTAAGCAGGACAGATATCAAACCTCTCTCCACTCCACTTAGGACACTGTTCTTTCTCTCTTTATTTGTTTCCCTGGGCAGGAACACCCTCTTCTCATGGGGAAAAAAAGGATGATAATTTTATCTGGGCCCATGTGATGTTCCCCATGGGAACAGTTGGTTAAATGAGTGATGGCTTGAAGGAGGATTTGCTCTGTTTGCTTACTTTTGTTTGTTTTTTTTTTTTCATGATGTTGCTGTGCCTGAGGAATTGAGAAATTCCACTCTTCCAAGAGTCAGGTTGGAGATACTTATTGGGACATTATTTCATTCATTTTCTATTTAATGTAGGCGCAGGTTCAGAAGACTAAAGACCTGCTCAATAACGTGGCCTCTGACGAAGTTAATTTAGAAGCCAAAATTGAAAAGAGGAAATTAGAACTGGAAAGAAACAGGAAGCGCCTCCAGACTCTACAGAGTGTCAGGTAGATATGAACACCCAAAGAATGAGTAGAAAGCTGTCTTTGAAAGTTCAAACACATTGAGAGAATGTATTGTCAGTGATATTAACCCTTCAAGCAGTGGAAGATGCCTTGAATAAGGCGATTTCTCCTTCAGAATGTATGTGTTGCTTGTTCAAACAAGCATACTGCTAAACTCATTCTCTTTACTGCTTTCAATATGTCTGGAAAACTGCTTAATTCTTGAACATCCATTCAGGTTTTTTTTTTGTTGTTTTTTTTTTTTATCCTCACCCGAGGACATTTTTCCATTTTTTTGTACAGATAGAGTGGGAGGGAGAGAGAGGAAGAGAGAGAGAGGGAAACATCGATGTGGAAGGGACACATCGAGTGGCTGCCACCCGCACGACCAACCAGGGCCGGGGACAAACTGCAACCGAGGTATCTGCCCTTAGCGGGAACCGAACCCGGATCTCTCCAGACCGCAGGCGGACGCTCTAACCGCTGAGCCAAACCGGCCAGGGCTCCATTCAGGTTTTATAGCTTCTTGGAAGTCAAGGCAAAATAAGCAAATCCAGATGATAAAAGTTATACAAGACTTGGTTAGGTGAAAATAGAAACATACTTCCATTTCTTGGTTTAAATAGATCTTAGACTTTTCTTTCCTCACCAGTAATTCATCTTTCTTCTGACTTTCTCTCACTGAAAGTATGTTTTCCAGGGAACGTGGATAGATAATAGTGGTACATAACACCTTCCAGGTCACTGGGGCCTTTCAAACATGTTCCTCATTTTTTTTATCACGCCCTCTCTGTCTCTCATATCTCATCTCCTTTCCTCTTTCCTCTTGTCTTGTATCCTCCTTCATTGCTTTTTTTATTGTTGTTCTTTCTCCCATGTCACTCACTACTCTTTCTCCCTTTTTAATCTTCTTTTAGTTTTCTCTTTTTACTCCTTCCCCTGTCCAGCAGTATCTGCTTTGAATATTAGAGACTGGCCCACAGTCTGTCTTCTATCCTGAGATCTGTGGGGAGGCAGCACCTGGGGACAGCAGCCAGTTACTCAGGGAGCATCAAAGGCTTCCTCCTAGCCAAGGGACCACACCCATTCTGCCTCTAGAATTAGGGCCAATAGATCAATTTGTCTCATTAAAAGTCCTGCCTTTCACTGTGACCACCAGTCAAGATGGTGGCATAGATAAACATGGTACTTGCCTTGTCCCACAACCATATCAAAATTACAACTAAACTACAGAACAACCATCATTCAGAACCACCTGAGATCGAGCTGAATGGAAGTCTTACAATTACAAAATTAAAGAAGAAGCCACATCGAGACTAGTAGGAGGGGTGGAGGTGCCAGAAGGGCTCATCCTACATCCACATGTGGCGAATAAAAAATCAGGAGGGATACCTCGGCTGTGAAGGTACTCCCTGAGAAGTGAGGGGTCCCTGTCCCATACCAGGCTCCCCAGCTCAGGGTTCCAGTGCCAGGAAGAAAAGTCCCCAAATAATCTGGGCGTAAAAACCAGCAGGAGAATCCATAAAAATCCTAGAAGAAAATGTAGACTTCATACGCAGCAGAATTTTCACTGATATAATGCCTAAGGCAAGAGAAACAAAGGAAAAAATGAACACATAGAACTACATCAAACTAAAAAGCTTCTGCACAGCAAAAGAAACAACCATCAAAATGGAAAGGGAACCCACTATATGGGAGAGCATAATTACCAATGATACATCAGATAAGGGATTATTTTCCAAAATATATAAAGTACTTATACAACTCAACAAAAGGAAGACAAAGAACCCGATTAAAAAATGGGCAAAGGACCTAAATAGACATCTCTCCAAAAATAACATACAAATGGCCAAGAGAAATATGAAAAAATGCTCAATGTCACTAATCATCAGAGAGATGCAAATTAAAACAATGAGGTATCGCCTCATACCTGTCAGAATGGCTGCCATCAAGAAATCATCAAACAAGTGCTGGCGAGGGTGTGGAGAAAGGGGACTCTAGTACATTGCTGGTAGGAAGGCAGACTGGTGCAGCCACTATGGAAGACAATATGTTGTTGCCTCAAAAAGTTAAAAATTGAATTGTCATTTGACCCAGTGATCCTACTTCTAAGAATATATCCTAAGAAGCCTGAAACACCAATCAGAAAGAATATACGTACCCCTATGTTCATAGCAGCATTGTATACAATTGCTAAGATCTGAAAGCAGCCCAAGTATCCATCAATAGATGAGTGGATAAAATAGCTGCGGTACGTATACCCAATGGGATACTATGCAGCTGTAAGAAAGAATGATCTCTTATCCTTTGAGACAACATGGAGGGACCTGGAGAGTATTATCCTAAGCAAAACAAGCCAGTCAGAGAAAGACAAATATCACATGATCTCACTTATTTGTGGTATATAATGAACAAAACAAACTGGTAAACAAAACAAACTCAGAGACATAGTAGTAGGGTACAGACTGACAAACCTCAGAAAGGAGATTGGGGTGGGGAGGGGAGGGAAGAGATAAACCACAGAATTTATATGCATGTATGCATAACCATGGACATAGACAATGATGCTGGGGACCAGTGCAGGGGCAGGATTGGGAGGAGGGGGTCAATGGAAAAAGAAACATTTGTAACAAAAATTAATTAATAAAAATAAATAAATAACCAGCAGGAATTGAGACTGAGGCTTCTAGAGTCCCAGGCAGTTCCTCTTAAAAGGCCCATGAATGGACTTACTCATACTTGCTTCCTCCATGCTTCAGTGTAGGGGAAGCCACCTGAAAGGCACCAGAGATACACTGAGCTGTTTGACATTGGAGCGAGAACTGGAGGGGCAGATGTGCTGGTATAGGTTGTTTTTCCCCATGGGGCCAGCAGACAGGCACCATATCCGAAACTCCAGCAACCTGGCTCACACTGTTTGCCCCACCCTGGTGATTCCTTGAGACCCTGCCCCACCTAATTTTCAGGCTGACCCAGGCTGTTTCCAGTGACTTTACCATAGGATTGGTCTGTCTTGCTGCATTAGATTTTCCTAAATTCTTTCAAAGAAGCAGCATCTGGCCTCAGTTATCCCCATACCTCTTGCTAAGTAGCCCCAGGTCAGGCACTAGAGGCAGCCAGCCTTGGTTCAGTTTGGCTTTGCCTGGGCACCACCAAGCCCAGCACAAGAAGCAGCCATCAGCAGATAGCTTTATAACGTATACCTGGTGACCCCAGGTAGAACACAGGTAGTGACTGACTGCCTCAGAGCCAGCATGCCCCGTGGACAGCTTCAGACGACATCAAAGCACCACTACCTAACCACCTCAATTGATACACTCAAGGAGTGGACTCACTGGGTACCCTGAGTGAAATAAGTCTTGCTCTGTGTGGTGGGCCCCTGCACAGCTGATCCCCCAAGGTAGTCAGAGGTCAGTGGTCAGTGGGCACAGCCAGTCTGTGTAGCTGGTCAGCCTGAGTAAATCCCTCCCATTGATGTGCCAGAAGCAGTAAAGCCTCAATTACAACAGAAGGGTATACAGTCCACATGAGGGATGTACCTCAAGGGCCCAGCTGAGGTGATCAGGGAGGCTGTACCACTGGACCCTACAGGACACCTACTATAATAGGCCACCCTATGACGTTTAGGAGACATAGCAACTCTACCTAATATGTAGAAAAAGCACAGGGAGGCAGCCAAAAGGAGACAAAGAAACTTGGCCCAAAATAAAGTACATAGCAAAACTCCAGGAAAAGAACTAAATGGCAATAAGCAATCTAACAGATGCTGACTTCAAAACAATGGTTATAAGGATGCTCAAGAAACTTAGGACCTCAAGAGCATAAAAAAGGACCTGTCAGAAATAAAGGATGCACTAATTGAAAAAAGTAATTTACAGGGATTCAATAGTAGGTGAAACTGAGAGGCAAACCATCAATTTGGGATATAAGGAAGCAAAACAACCCCACCCAATCAAAACACCAAAAGGAAAAAGAATCCAAAAAAAAAAATGAGAATAGTGTAAGGAGTCTCTGGGACAACTTCAAGCATGCCAATATTTGCATATGGGGGTGCCAGAAGAAGAGACAGAGCAAGAAATTGAAAACCTATTTGAAAAAATAATGACAGAAAACTTCCCTAACTTGGTGAAGGAAACAGACATACAAGTCCAGGAAGCACAGAGAGTTCGAAACAAGATGAACCCCAAGAGGCCTACACCAAGACACATCATCAAAATGTGAGTGGTTAAAGACAAAGAGCGAATCTTAAAAGCAGCAAGAGAAAAGCAGTTAGTTACATACAAAGGAGCTCTGGTAAGACTGTCGGCTGATTTCTCAAAAGAAACTGCAGTCCAGAAGGAAGTGGCAAGAAATATTCAAGGTAATGAAAAGCAAGAACCTACAACCACGATTACTCTCTCCTACAAAGCTGTCATTTAGAATCAGTAGACATATAGTTTCCCAGACAAGAAAAAGCTAACGGAATTTATCACCACCAAACCAATATTATATAAAATGTTGAAGGGTCTTCCTGAAGAAGATAAAAAATATGAATAGTAAAATGGCAATAAAATGCACATATATAAACAATTGAATCTACAAACAAAATGAACAAGCAGAACAGAAACAGACTCATAGATGCAGAGAACTTTTTGTTGGTTACCAGATGGGAGAGGGGTTGGGGGAATGTGTGAAAAAGGTGATGGGATTAAGAAGTGCAAATTGGTTGTTAGACTGATGAATTTCAAAGGGAAGGGGGGAGGTGCAGTGTGAAGAGATAAACCAAAGAACTTAATATGCATATATGCATAACCAATGGACACAGTGTGGGGAAGGCAGGAGGGGGGTAGGAGAGGGGAGGAGAGGGTTAATGGGGAAAAAAGGGGGAACATCTGTAATACTTTCATTTTTTTTATCCTCACCCGAGGACATTTTTGCATTTATCTTCAGACAGAGCAGGAGGGAGAGAGGGAGAAAGAGAGAGAAACATCGATGTGAGAGAGACACATGGAGTGGTTGCCACTGACAAGACCCCAACTGGGGCCAGGGACAAACTGCAGTTGAGGTACATACCTTTAGTGGGAACAAAACCCAGACTCTGGTCTACAGGCTGATGTTCTAACTGCTGAGCCAAACTAGCCAAGGCACATCTGTAATACTTTCAACAAAAGTTCTGCCTTTCAAGTATAAATTTGTTTTTGTTAAACCTCATATCCTTTTAATAGAAAAGTTTCTGTTTTGCTTTAGTAAAAAAGGTTAAAAAATTGTTTTTTTAGGTTTTTTTTTTTTTTTTTTTAAAAAAAGAACAGTTTCCTTTTAATAAGGACAAAGTAATTCAGCAAACCAGTTGAAATAGCTTTTTATGTTATGGTTTTGGTTTGCAGTTTTATATTGTTTATAAACTTAGCTTTAATTTCTGACAACCTAAATTTCCCTTTTTAGGTAACTGGTTAAATTTTGGAACATTCAGACTGCAGGGTATTATGCCCAGCTAAGATAATGCATATATTTTATTTATTGATTTTAAGAGATGTGTATGGTATATGCTGATTTTTAAACTATTGAAATCTGTGGCGAATTGAGTGAGAAAAAAGACTGCAGAGCTTCATTTAGACAGTGATTTTCAACTTTTTAAAAAATATGTTTTTATTGATTTTTAGAGAGAAATGGAGAGGAAGAGAGAGACAGAAACATCAATGAGAGAAAAACATTGATCGACTGCCTCCTGCACATCACCAACTGGGGATTAAGCCCAAAATCTGGGCATATGCCCTGACTGGGAATCAAACCAGTGCTCTTATTGCATGGGTTGATGCGCAACCACTGAGCCACAATGGCCGGGCTGATTTTCAACTTTTTAAATCTCATGGCACAAACTAATTACTAAAATTTTGTGGCACACCAAAAAGTAGTGTATTTTTGCCAGTCTGACAAAAAAGGGTATAATTTTTATTCATTCACACCAGATGGCTATTATTGTGTTGGCTATCATTTTGTATTTGACAGTCTAAGGGAAAAGAGGTCAGTGCCCCTGACTTAATAGGCAGGTATTGCATGTTTTAAAAATCCTTGTGGCAGCGTGGCTGGTGTGGCTCAGTGGTTGAGCATCAACCCATGTACTAAGAGGTTGCCGGTTCGATTCCTGGTCAGGGCACATGCCCGGGTTATGGGCCTGATCCCCAGTGGGGGGCGTGCAGGAGATGGTCAGTTGATGTTCTCTCTCATTGATGTTTCTCTCTCTCTCTCCCTCTCCCTTCCTCTCTCTCTAAAATCAACTAAAAAAATTAAAAGAAAAATTCTTGTCAGCACACTGGTTGAAAACCACTGATTTTAAGGTAATGTAGTTATGTTTGTTTAAAAATGCATTCCTATATGTATCTGTGTATAGAAAAGTCTGGAAGGATGTACGTCAAATATTAAGTGCTTATACCTGGTGATGGGATTATGATTAATTTTTACTTTATTCTAGTTTCAGCATTATTTCAAGTTTTTACAAAAATTACATCTTTTTTATTTTAAAAAGTATGTTCATTTTGGGGGAGGGAAGAGAAAAGGGAAAGTTAGCCTCAAGCAGTTAGAGAGCTTTAAAGCATTTTCTCCAATTAATTCAAGGCTTTTCAAAAAAAACCATGACAGAATATGAAACTGAATACCAATTTCAAACTATTATGTATTGATTTCTATTTCACTTTTTATTTTATTTGATCATTCTAGGCCGGCATTTATGGACGAATATGAGAAGATTGAGGAAGAATTGCAAAAGCAGTATGACATTTATCTGGAGAAATTTCGAAATCTGGCTTATCTGGAACAACAACTCGAGGATCATCATAGGATGGAGCAAGAGAGGTTTGAGGTCAGTGCTTATCCTGTTCTACACAGACTCTTCTTTCTGATGTGTCACTTTGTACTTGTTGACAAGTCACTTTGTAAATACCCTTGTGAAAAAAATAGCAGTGAATGTTTAATATTAGTTTATCAAACTAATCTTTGATATTAGAAAATTAGGAATACAGACAAGGTTAACATGTGACCTATGTAGTTACGCAAGACAAGAGCCTGTGCTTGCTTTGCTGTTCTGCTTTTTTTGTTGTTAATTCTCACCTGAGGATATTTTTTTCTATTGATTTTTTTTTTTTAAGACAGAGTGGAAGGGCCCTGGCCGGTTTGGCTCAGCGGTTAGAGCGTCAGCCTGCGGTCCTGAGAGACCCGGGTTCGGTTCCCACTAAGGGCACGTACCTCGGTTGCAGTTTGTCCCCGGCCCTGGTCGGTCGTGTGGGTGGCAGCCACTCGATGTGTTCCTTTCACATCGATGTTTCTCTCTCTCTCTCTCTCTCTCTCTCTGTTCCTCTCTCTCTCCCCCTCGCTCTATATGAACAAAAAATGGAAAAATGTCCTCGGGTGAGGATAAAAAAAAACAAAAAAAAGACAGAGTGGAAGGGAGAAAGAGGGAAAGATTGATGTGAGAGACACATTGATTGGTTGCCTCCTGCACAAGCCCCATTGGAGCTGGGGGTCAAACTTGCAACCCAGGTATGTACCCTTGTCTGGGAATTGAACCTGTGACCCTTCAGTTCTTGGGCTGACACTTTAACCACTGAGCCACACCGGCCAGGATGAAATCCAAAATAATTGTTAAATGCCTTTTTTAAAAAAAAATTTTCCCCCCTTTTTTATTGATTTTGGAGAGAGAGGAAGTGAAAGAGAGATAGAAACATCAATGAGAGAGGACATCTATTGGCCACCTCCTGCACGGCCCCCACTGGGGATTGGGCCCACAACCTGGGCATATGTCCTCACCAGGAATCGAACTGGCGACCTCTTAGTGCATGGGACGATGCTCAACCACTGAGCCATACTGGCTAGACTTAAGTGCTTTTTCTTTTTTTTATCCTCACTCAAGGACATTTTTTCCATTTTTTTATTCAGGTAGAGTGGGAGAGAGAGAGAGGAACAGAGAGAGAGAAACATCGTTGTGAAAGGGACACATCGAGTGGCTGCCACCAGCACAACCAACCAGGGCCGGGGATGAACTGCAACCGAGGTACATGCCCTTAGCGGGAACCGAACCCGGGTCTCTCAGGACCGCAGGCCAACTCTCTAACCACTGAGCCAAACCAGCCAGGGCTTAGGTGCTTTTTATTTTGCACTGAGTTCCATAAATTTTATAACTGCTCTTAAATTTAAAAAAATACTTGATCGCCCTGGCCGGTTTGGCTCAGCGGTTAGAGCATCGGCCTGCGGTCCGGAGAGACCCGGGTTCAGTTCCCGCTAAGGGCATGTACCTCGGTTGCAGTTTGTCCCCGGCCCTGGTTGGTTGTGCAGGTGGTGACCACTCGATGTGTCCCTTTCACATCGATGTTTCTCTCTCTCTCTGTTCCTCTCTCTCCCTCCCAGTCTACTGGAACAAAAAAAAAAAAAAATGGAAAAATGTCCTTGGGTGAGGATGATAAAAAAGAAAAAAATACTTGATCAATTCACTTAAAGATTTTCAAGCGCTGGTTAATTGAATCATCCTAACCAGCTTATTGGAGACTGTTTTATAAAGAGGAATTGCAGTTTATCGATTATTCTGTGAAATATGTATGACTCATAACCTAACCAGCTCTCTTACAAGTACCTTTCATCCCAGTGTTTAAGACCACTTAGGAAGGAGTATTTCAAATCCCAACATGACTCAATAAATATGGAATTCAGAGCAAAGGAAGTTGGACCAAGTTGCTCTCACTTTTTGAATTGCCCTTCTCCCTTAGGAATATTTCTGTTTAACCCAAGAATAGTCATTTGGAATCTGTATTCATGGTGAAATTGGTCTACAGTCTCCCTTTCTTACACGGTCCCTGACAGCTTTTAGTATAAAGCTTATGATAGCCATCTTACAAACCTGGGTAAATTATTTTGCTGTCCAGGAGGGCTGGCTGGGAGTAACTACCACATTCATATGGACACGTTTATCTTGACGAGAACCCTGTTGCCAACATTATTGTATGGCAAAGGCAGGCCATGAAGGAACAGAGTATAGGAAAGGCACATTTTGAGGGCAGTGGAAAGAGCCTGGAGTCCAGGACACTTTATTTATTTATGTATGTATGTATGTATGTATGTATGTATGTATGTATTTATCCTCACTCGAGGACATTTTCCATTTTTTTTTTTTTGTTCAGGTAGAGTGGGAGGGAGAGAGAGGAAGAGAGAGAGAGAAACATCGATGTGAAAGGGACACATCAAGTGGCTGCCGCCCGCACGACTGACCAGGACCAGGGACAAACTGCAACCGAGGTACGCGCCCTTAGCGGGAACCGAACCCGGGTCTCTCTAGACCGCAGGCCGACGCTCTAACTGCTGAGCAAAACCGGCCAGGGCATCCAGGACACTTTAAACATTGGGTGTCTGGGAAAGAACAATAAAAGACCAGTGAAAATGAACTGACCATTTTGTACTATTGTCTGGGGCCACCTCTGGGTTCAGAGAATGTACTGAAGAACGAATCTCAGGCTGCACGTTCTTCCTTCAACAAATACTTACCTTCTTTTTCTCCTATGGTCACATCTACTCTCTGTGCTTTTAATACCTAGTCCCTCAAAATATCGAATGTATGGAATGTAGTGCTTTCTTTTTAATGTTTATAGCAACAACAAAAATCTAAAGACTAATTTCTTCTCCCATCTTTTTAAAAAATTATTGTTGAAAATATTACAGATGTCCCCCTTTTTTCCCCATTGACCCCCTCCTTCCCGCTCCCACCCCCCTCCTGCCTTCCCCAGCCTAGTGTCCATGTCAGTTGGTTGTGCATATATGCGTATAAGTTCTTTGGTTTATCTCATCCCTCCCCTCCCATGTCCCATCCCTCTGAGGTTTGTCATTCTGTTCCCTACTTCCATGATTCTGGATCTCTTTTGGTCGACAGCTTATTTTGTTCATTATGTTCCACAAATAAGTGAGATCATGTGGTACTTGTCTTTCTCTGACGGGCTTGTTTTGCTTAGGATAATACTCTCCAGGTGTCTCCATGTCATCTCAAAGAGTTAAGAGATCTCTCTTTCTTACAGCTGCATAGTACTCCATTGTGTATATGTACCACAGTTTTTTTACCCATTCATCTCCTGATGGGCACTTGGGCTGTTTCCAGATCTTAGCTATTGTAAATAGTGCTGCTAAGAACATAGGGGTGCATATATTCTTCCTGATTGGTGTTTCAGGCTTCTTAGGCTATATTCCAAGAAGTGGGATCACTGGGTCAAATGGCAGTTCAGTTTTTAATTTTTTGAGAAAATACCATATTGTTTTCCATAGTGGCTGCACCAGTCTGCATTCCCACCAGCAGTGGGCTAGAGTACCCTTTTCTCCTCTCGTTAGATGATTTGTTGATGGCCACCATTCTGGCAGGTGTGAGGTGATATCTCATAGTCGTTTTAATTTGCATCTCTCTGATGATTAGACATGATGAGCATTTTTTCATATGTCTCCTGGCCTTATATATGTCCTGTTTGGAGAAGCCTATTCCATTCTTTATTTTGACAGTAATCAGGACCACATTTTGTGAACTAACTGAAATATTAACTTTTTCTTTAATTCTCTAGGAATTAAAACTAGTATTTATTTCTTTTCCCATCCTGATCAGCTCCACCATTTAGCATCTTCCAGGGCTGGAATTGTGCAGGGCAGAGAAACAATAAATTTTATGCTTTATTCTTTTTAGAGTAAGAGGCCTGTAGTGCCCATAGTTGATGCATCTGTGCAGGCACACATGATGGGTATTTCATTGTGTCATTCAGTTTTCTTCAGAGTTACTGAGGTGTAGTGGGAAGAGCATGGGTTTGGGAGCCAGCCAGGCCCATTTTAGGTCAGTTGTGTCCCTTCTGGGAGCCTCCCTTTCCACAGCGCTGCTGGGTGATTATAGAAAGAAAGGGTGTCAGGTTTCCCAACTGCAGTAGTATCTTAGGCAGTGTTAGTTTTCTTCCCCTTCTTTTAGTTTGGATTTTTTTCTGGTTCTATGTTACAAAGAGCAGTACTTACCCAAATGGTAAAGAATAATAAAATGTTCACAAAAGGGTAATCTCTTCTTTATCTTGTTTTACTGTTCCAAAGGAAGCTGAAAATACTCTCCGTCTGATGCAGAACAAGCTAAAGGAAGAAGAAAAGCGACTGCTAAAGAGTGGAAGTAAGTTTATACTTTTCAAATTCGGAAGTTGCATTTTTAGCATTGAAAAATTTATATGTATATTTCATTTATTTTCAAAAGGCAATTTTCTCACAACTCTTATATCTGGTACCATTTTGTTTTAGTCAAGAGCTCGAGAAACTGGTTTAAATAGTATTTAAAGCATATTTGGTTTTTATGCCAACTACAATAGTGTTTTCCTCTGTTTAAATGATAGTTTGAATTATATATATATATATATATATATATATATGTGTGTAATTTGAAAGAAAAAATTGTTTTGGAGGTCTGTAGGGTTCCTTATTTTAGGGCAGATTGATGGAAAACAAGCAACATAATGAAGTACAAGGGAATAGGTCACTTGTGTAAATATAGACCCCCCCACTACACACACCCATCTTCAGCACTCACCTATAGAGAAATGGGAGTTACCTATATGCTCTCCATGCCTAGTTAGCACCCTTCATCCATGAACTTCACCAAGGTGTCAGGTCAGCCTCGTGAGCTGTAGCAGAACGTGATCTTCCTGCTGAATTGATGGCTTTGTCTCATAGAGCTTTCTCTTCTTGCTCTTTTTTCATGATGATACATTTTATTATCCCATGCTTGAGATAGTATGCCTGGGACATCAGGCATATTCTTCCTCTGCGTGTCTTTTCTCTTTGTACCTCTCTTCTTTTGTACTTGGTCTGCCCCTGTACTTTGTACTGCCTCTCCAGAATCTCAGGAAACTCTGGAAGGAGAATAGGGACTGCTGGGAAATCCTCTTGGGGTAAAGTTAGGGAATTCCAAGGGTCTCTCTAGCCAAAGCAGCCCCTCGCCTTTATGGTTCCAGGTCAGCCAGGAGAGCCCGAAGCTGCCCCAAGTGATAAGACTGCATGGAATTTATCCCCTCCTGGGAGGATTGGCACAGGTAAGAGCTCTGGCTGGTTGGTTGCTTGACTGCATCACGCTCTGCCCCAGGCCAGCACATTAAGACCTTTCTCACTGATCTTGCTTTGTTCTTCTGAACTCAGACTTTCATTTTGTGATCCATAGGTTTGGGATTTCTTTTTTTTTTTTTTTTTTTTTTTTATCCTCCCCCGAGGACAGTTTTCCATTTTTTTGTTCAGGTAGAGTGGGAGGGAGAGAGAGGAACAGAGAGAGAGAGAGAAACATCGACGTGAAAGGAACACATCGAGTGGCTGCCACCCGCACAACCGACCAGGGCCGGGGACAAACTGCAACCGAGGTACGCGCCCCTAGCGGGAACCGAACCCGGGTCTCTCAGGACCGCAGGCCGACGCTCTAACCGCTGAACCAAACTGGCCAGGGCGGTTTGGGATTTCTTAAAGGACAAAGATTCTTAGAAGCATGTGTGATTTAATTATTTCAGAAAATTTTTCAGTTTAAACCAGCTTAATGAAGGATAGCACTTAATGAGTGTGGAGTAGACAAAGTTAAGAAAATATTTATGAAGGACTATACTCATTTCTACTCATCCTAAGGTTAAGATGATCTCTGTCTTTGCTTTTTTGCATACAGTATGTGTGGGAACATTGCCCAGAGTGTTGGGATCAGGGAGGAGATACATATAGGAAGACTCTCTGAGTTTTTCTCCATCTGTGAAAGATTTCTCCAAACAGAACAATCTAATAGTACACAGACATGAATCAGGAGCAAGAATTAGTAAAACCTAACAGCTGGAAGAGATCCTCTTGTCCAGCCACTCTTGAGGCAGCTGTTTCAACCTAGCAAAGCATTATTAAGTATTTGTCTAGATGCTAAGGACAAAAGACAGGGTCCTTGCCCTAACTGATCGCACATGCTAGTATGCTAGGAGACAAATAATAAGCAAGCTATATGTGGAAGGTGAAAACTGTTATGGAGGAAATGCAGAGCAGGTAAGAGGAATAAGGAAAGTATGACAGAATTGCTTTTTTAAAATAGGTGGTTAGGGTAGGCCTCACTGAGGAGGTGCTATTTCAGCAAAGACTAAATCAGTAGAGCTGGGAAAAAAGGAGATAACAGATGAGGAGAGTCCAAGAAAGACTGGAAGCTAGTGCCCAGTTTCATTGAGTGAGGAAATGTGTGAACCAGCAGGTCTTAAGTTAAGGTAGGTTAGATGAGCTAGAAGGTGTAACGTGCTTGAGAGGCTCATATCTGATTGATACCATCTTTGTTAAGCAGGAAGTGAAGTTATCTTTTTTTAAAATTTTTGTTACAGATATTTTTCCTTTTCTCCCCCTCCTCCTGCCCCCCATTGGTTATACTTATATGCATAAGTTCATTGGTTTTACCCTCCTCCTGCCCCCCATTGGTTATACTTATATGCATAAGTTCTTTGGTTTATCCCCCCCTCCTCTGAAGTTTGTCAGTCTGAACCCTACTTCCATGTCTCTGGGTCTATTTTGTTCATCATCTTATTTGTCCATTATATTCCACAAATAAGTGAGATCATGTGATACTTGTCTTTCTCTAACTGGCTTGTTTCGCTTAGGATAATACTCTCCAGGTCCCTACATGTTGTCTCAAAGAATAAGAGAGCTTTCTTTCTTACAGCTGCATAGTATTCCATTGTGTATATGTACCACAGCTTTTTTACCCACTCATCTATTGATGGACACTGGGCTGTTTCCAGATCTTAGCAATTGTAAATAGTGCTGCTATGAAATAGGGGTACATATATTCTTTCTGATTGGTGTTTCAGGCTTCTTAGGATATATTCCAAGAAGTGGGATCACTGGGTCAAATGGCAGTACAATTTTTAATTTTTTGAGGAAACACCATATTGTTTTCCACAGTGGCTGCACCAGTCTGCATTCCCACCAGCGGTATACTAGGGTACCCTTTTCTCCACACCCTCGCCAGCACTTGTTATTTGATGATTTGTTGATGGCGGCCATTCTGGCAGGTATAAGGTGATACCTCATAGTTGCTTTAATTTGCATCTCTCTGATGATTAGTGATGTTGAGCATTTTTTCATGTCTCTTGGCCATTTGTATGTCCTTTATGGAGAGGTGTCTATTTAGGTCCTCTGCCCATTTTTTAAATTAATTAATTAATTATTTATTTATCCTCATCTGAGGACCCCTTTGCATTTATCTTCAGACAGAGTGGGAAGGAAAGAGGGTGGAAGAGAGAGAGAGAAACATCAATGTGAAACAGACACATAGAGTGGCTGCCACCTGCACCACCCCAGCTGGGGCTGGGGACATATCGTAACCGAGATACATGCCCTTAGCGGGAACCGAACTTGGAACTCTCTGGTCTGCAGGCCGACGCTGTAATCGCTGAGCCAAACTGGCCAGAGCTGCTCACTTTTTAACTGGGTTCTTTGTCTTTTTTTTATTGAGTTGTATGAGTACTCTATATATTTTGGAAATTAACCCCTTATCTGATGTATCATTGGCAATAATGCTCTCCCATATAGTGGGTTCCCTTTCCATTTTGATGGTTGTTTCTTTTGCTGTGCGGAAGCTTTTTAGTTTGATGTAGTTCCATGTATTAATTTTTTCTTTTGTTTCTCTTGCCTTAGGCATTGTATCAGTGAAAATTCTGCTGCATGTGATGTCTGAAATTTTGTTGCCTACATTTTCTTCTAGGATTTTTATTCACAAGTCACATTTAAGTCTTTTATCCATTTTGAGTTTATTCTTGTGTATGGTATAAGTTGGCGGTCTAGTTTAATTTTTTGTGCATGTAGCTGTCCAATTTTCCCAGCACCATTTATTAAAGAGGCTGTCTTTATTGTATGCTCTTGCCACTTTTGTCAAATATTAATTGAGCATAATGTCTTGGGTAATTTCTGGGTTCTCTGTTCTGTTCCATTGATCTATATGCCTGTTCTTGTGTCAGTACCAGGCTGTTTTGATTATAGTGGCTTTGTAATATAACCTGATATCTGATATCGAGATCCCTCCTACTTTGTTCTTCTGTTTCAAAACTACTGTGGCTAGTCGGGGTCTTTTATGGTTTCATATAAACTTTTGGAGTGTTTGTTCTAGCTCTGTGAAATATGTTGTTGGTATTTTAATGGGGATTGCATTGAATCTATAGTTTGCTTTGAGTAGTATGGATATTTTAATGATAATAATTCTTCCAATCCATGAACAAGGTGTATGCTTCCACTTTTTTATATCTTCCTCTATTTCTTTTTTCAGTGTTCTGTGAACAGGTCCTTTACTTCTTTAGTTAAGTTTATTCCTAGGTATCTTAATTTTTTTGTTGCAATACTAAATGGGATTTTTTTTTAGTTTATCTTTCTGTATTCATTATTGGTGTATTAAAATGCTAATGATTTCTGGATGTTGATTTTGTTTCCTGCTACTTTGCCAAATTCATTTATGAAGTCTAGTAGTTTGTTGTTGTTTTTTATCCTCACCCAAGGACACCTTTCAGCATTTTGTTCAGATAGAGTGGGAGGGAGAGAGAGAGAGAGAAACACCGACATGAAAGTGACACATCGAGCGGCTGCCACCCACACGACCCAATCAGGGCCGGGGACAAACTGCAACCAAGGTACGCGCCCCCAGCGGGAACTGAACCCCGGTCTCTCCAGACCACAGGCCAACGCTCTAACCGCTGAGCCAAACCGGCCAGGGCAAATCTAGTAGTTTTTTGATGGAGTCTTTAGGGTTTTCTATGTACAATATCATATCATCTACGAATAATGACAGTTTCACTTTTTCCTTCCCAGTTTGTATCCCTTTAAATTTTTCTTCTTGTCTGATTGCTGTGGCTGAGACTTCCTGTACTATGTTAAATAAGAGTGACATCCCTGTCTTTTTCCTGTTCTTAAGGGAAATGCTTTTCTTTTTGCCTATTGATTATGATGTTGGCTGTAGGTTTGTCATAAATGGCCTTTATTATGTTGATATTTGATCCTTCTATTCCCACTTTGCTGAGTTTTTATCACAAATGGTTGTTGGATTTTATCAAGTGCTTTTTCAGTGTCTAGTGATATGATCACATGATTTTTATCTTTTTTTTTTATGTGGTGTATCACATTTATCAATTT